TGATAGTTGTTTTGAAATGTTATATTTATGTAGATATTGAGTCTAAACAAGTTCCGGAATAATCAAAGGATTAGGATCGAATCAAAGAAAACAAGGCTAAGGTGAGTGCAATTTTTATTGTACTTATATTATTGAACGAACATTGGCTTGCGATGAGCCAGTGATGGAGTTACTATGGTAAGAAGTGACTCCTAAATTGTTATTTGATTTGTGATTGTTATATGTGCATGAATACATGAAATGTGTATAGATTATTATAAATGTTACATGATATACATGCATACGTGATTATGCAATATGTAATATATGTTATATGATATGCATAAACATAAGAGCATATAACATAAGATATGTGATCTATGCTATGAGACATGACCATGTGAAATGAGATAAACTATGTGAATATATGAAATGACATATGAATATGGAATATGTGATACATGTGATATGATATGAAATATGTGGTTACACATACATGTGGTATGTGACAGAAGAGAAAGAATAAGTGATGAGAAATGTATTCATCATAAATGCCCATAGTATATGATACGAGAGCTATAGGTATAGTTGGCATGCCAAGAGTCGAGGGTTCTGTAGTCCTTCGGGACGTAGTCCTTCGGGACGTAGTCCTTCGGGACGTAATGGTCCTACGGGACATATATAGCAGTCCTTCGGGACGAATACTGAACAAATGTTCGGTGCCCCATGAGGGAATTTATACGAGCTGTGGTGACAGCATTAGTGCACAACCTCAATGTACTCACATACCTCTATTCTCAATAATATACATGGGCAATACAATTGAAAGATAAATTAAAGTGAAAGTGATACAAGAAGGTAAGTTTCATGTGTGCATGACATGATTATATATATATGTCATGAAATATATATATGCATATTGAAATGTCATGATCAAATGGTAAGAATGCATATTTATGAATCTATTGTTACATGTTCATTTATTGTCTCACTAAGTCTATGACTTAGCGTGTAAGTGATTTACACGTAGGTACCAAGAAACGTGAAGAGAAAGAATAGAAGTAGCAAGGACAGTATTATTACTTGAAGATCAGATCAGAAGTAATCAACAAGTATGTATTTTGGCGTGTATAGAGTGTTGGCATGTAATAAGTCGTTAATTATGAGCACTCTGATCGAGTTTGTATTTTGGAGTATCTTCTATGTAAATTAAAGTATTTTGTTTTAAATAAAATTTTTTTTTTTAAATTCCCGGGGATTTTCTCTAAGTGTCAAGGTTTTAAAAGTCAATGTGACACCTCGGACTCGGATTCGGGTCGGGTACGGGTTGGGGTGTTACAGGAGGGACCTCTTCAACGATGACAGTGGCCTCTTGAACGGTGGGAGGGGACTCTCGAGGAATGATAGGGGCCTCTTCAACGATAGGAGTGGACACTTGAGGGATGACAGGCTAGTCGGGCTTCTTCTTGTGGTGTCTTCGCACTATTGGGGTGTACGGAGACATAATAGCACGTGCACGCCGTCTGATGCGTGAACTCCGTCGTGCAAGAAAAAACCCGACGTAAAGCATCCACCTTATCGGGCCGTTAAATAATTAAATACGAAAATCAGTAAATAAACAGACATGATATTTAAACAGTGAAAACAAAGACAATATGTTTCAAACTTGCATTGTATTCACCCAAGTCATTATTCTATCATAGTTCACAAAATGCATCAGATAACAAAGACAAATATGTTTCAAACAAAGACAAATACTAACTTCACAGTGTTAAAGAATACACAGTTTAGCAGAATTGGCAGCAACCGAATAAATTTACTTCAACCAAAAGATAAAACAAAAGACAAATACTAACTTCACAGTGTTAAATAATAAACAATTTAGCAGTATTGGCAGCAACCGAATAAATTTACTAAGCAATCTAAGTGAAATGGTTAATCTAAGTGAAATTACGAGTAAATTTATCATCAAGTTAAATATGGAAAATCTTAAACTTACCTCTTTGAGTAGAGTATGAACCTCATTCTGCAACGATACTACCATATCACGTAGAGCGGCAACCTCACCACGTAAAGTAGACACCTCCACACGCCATGCACCATCGTTATCGCGTAGAGTACCGATCTCCTCACGCAAGGCATTGACCTCATCACGTAACTCCCTTGACTCATCCCGTGGAGGTGGAGAACAGGGAGATAGAAGTCATGGCATCTTTGCCGGTCGCCTATCATGAGGTGATGGTGGAGAAGAGGCTCGATGATGTGACGGGATAGGTGATGGCTCTCGTTGTAGAGATGTATAGTCGAGTCGATCAGGTGATGGCTCTAGGTGAGGTGATGGCTCTCGAAGTGGAGGAAGTGGAGGCTGCTCATCATTCGTGCCATCAAAAAAACGCTGACTAGCTTGCCACCAATCAGTGGCAAGCTCAGCCTCCGTGGGTGTCAGTCTCTGTAATGGAGTGTTGGCCTCCTAAAAATATAAAAACTCAAACAAAGTTAAACGTCTACTATTAATAACTTGTTTATATATGATAGTATTTGTGTTAACTTACATTATTTATTGTCGCATATGGTATTAAGTCTTCCCAATCCAACAGACGTTTCCTCTTCCAGGAAATAGCCCTAGGAATATCATTTGAAGTTTTTAATGCATATGTCAGCATGTTGGGGAAAGCCTCGAATATCCAAATCTACAAACAATATAATAACAAACATTAGTAATTGTTAAATAATTAATTATAATTTTGAAAACATTATATAAAAATTCTTACCTTAAAGGCCCAAACAAAGCCTGACAAAGTGTATTTCGACCCATCGCCACGCAAACTTTTTGCGGTCATCAAAGGCAGACGACAACTTAGTCCAGGTAGCTTTCCATATAAACGAACCCCACGGAAACAGATTCCATGCATTTAGGTCCTCTACCAATAATATTTTCTCCTGAGGAATAGGTTGTCTGGCCTCTCTGCCTAAAAAGCCGGCATACAAAAGTACTAGAAGGAATACTCGGACAACATCGATGTCATTCATCCGAGTAAACCCATCTTTCTTATTAAACAATTTCTTCAGGTCGTCGATGTGTAAGTTCGGCTTCTCTATGGACTCATCAGGAAAAATCTGGGATAACCATGATGGGCGGGTGATATGACGAGTGTACCGGCCTACATCATCGTGTCCGAATCGTAGACCAGTGATTAAGCAGAACTCCTTCCGCCCAAAACAAGTATAATGAAACCATATCTCTTCCTCACCACGTTGTATACTGTCGGGTAGATCGCTAGTCATGGTCTGAAGCCACAAATAGGTCAAATTAGCATCTCCACCCGGATGATGTACTCTCAGCCATAGCCCGAAGCAGGTTTCATCAAACAATTTTCTTTGTGTAGGTGAAAGCTTCGAAGCAATTGTAGTGGCTAGGCTAACTTTATTGCTTAATGTCAATGAAGCCGAAAAAATTTTCTACAAAAACAATAAACATACCAAGTTAGATATACCAAAAACTATACTGTGAAGATATACCAAAAACAATAAACATAAAGAGTAGTAGTTTATTCTTGAAACTAAAATTTGCAACACTGTTTTGTCTTTTGGTTGAAATGAAAATCGCAACGAGAAAATGACTATCGCAACGCGGAAATGACTATCGCAACGCGAAATGAAAATCACAACGCGAAATTAAAATCGCAACGCGAAATTAAAATCGCAACGCGAAATGAAAATCACAGTGCGATTTTGGTTTCGCGTTGCGATTCTCTCGTTGCGATAGTCATTTTCGTGTTGCGATTTTTATTTTCATGTTGTAATTTTCATTTTAGAAACTATTCTTTTTCTGCAAATTGAAATTTTAATGGATTGCATTACTTCAACCAAAAGACAAAACAAAGACAAATACTAACTTCACAGGGTTAAAGACTAAACAGTTTAGCAGTATTGTCAGCAATTGAATGAATTTAATAAGAAATCTAAGTGAAATGGTTAATCTATTATTGAAATTACCAGTAAACTTATTATCAATTTCAATATGAAAAACCTAAAATAATGCAAGAATTTCAAAATAAAAATAATTAAAAAAAATAACACTCGGAGGTTGATTTTCCATTTCTAAATGATTGTGAGGGATTTCTGACCGTGAATGGTTGTGAGGGATTTCGTCGGAGATGGGGACGGAAATCTTCGGAGATGGGGATGGATTTCGCCGTAGAGAGTGAGAGATGGAGATGGGACTCAGTTGTGATTTTAGGTTTTAGGTTATGAGTTGCGATTACGGGATATACTGTGGACGGTTCAGAGTTCCGATAATTAATATTCGTGTTTGGAATTTGAAAATAAAATACGCGTCGCGATTCTAATGGCGCTTTAAAAATCGCGTTGCGATTTATGGATACGCGTTGCGCTTTTTCATATTGTCGTTGCAATTTACGGATACACATTGCGATTTACGTATTCTCGTTGCGATTTACAGATACGCGTTGTGATTTACGTATTCTCGTTGCGATTTACGGATGCGCGTTGCGATTTTACGTATTGTCGTTGCGATTTACGGATACGCGTTGCGATTTTACGGATACTCGTTGCGATAGTCAGAATCGCGTTGCGATTTTTATATTCGCGTTGCGATTCTGGAAAATCGCAATGCGAATTTGTACTATCGCATTGCGATTCTGGGAACTGATTTGCGATTTTGGAGATCGCGTTGCGATTTTTATTTCGCATTGCGATTTTGTTGGTCATTTTGACAAATCCAAAAAAAAATTGATTAAAATCGTATATTATAAGACATTTTTGATCTGAAACGATTTTCTCTTTCATAATTAACGTGTCAAAATCTCATTTACCGATGCCTAACATGACATAACTTCCACCGGTCACGGTTCTCCATCTAAATTAGAAGGAGTACATTGCTCACTCACGATCAACTAATCTATTTAATTCCCATCAAGTTAAGAGAATTTTTCATCCAACAAGCCACGAGTAGTATCTATTAACTGTATGCAAACTTTAAAATTGCAAGCCAGACATTGATGTACTAATCACACCGCATACGCATTTACATAAAATCAGTTTCAAACCAATTCCAAAATAGAAGGGGTGAAAAACACAATTTCCCTTTTCTGTACTTGAGGTTAGGTTGTATGACGCACTGCTGGCACATACTTTCAATTTTCGCATTCTTCTCCCACGATTTTAAAGTTACTAGTGTTGTTGAAGTTGTCGCCTTGCCATGTCCAAACAATGTCTTTTAATGCAGGCCTCACATTTTCCTCGCAAAACTTGACATACTCCAAGGTATCCCCTGAGGACTTGGAGAACTCCACGATTGCAATCTCCGGTGCCACCTCAGACACCTCCGCCGTCACCGAGAGCTTCCCCTTCCGTCCCTCCGACGAACATTGCAATTTAATCTTGAAGTCCTTGACTTTTCCCACCCTAAAGTTCAAACCTTTTGCAGCAGCTTCGATTTTAGCCATGATTGCAGAAGCCGAACATCTTGAAGTGAACATCATCCCCGATTTCCTCTTGTTTTCGAACAAGCTCGACAGATCAAACCCCGACGACATGGAGGAAATGAACTCGAAAGCGTTGAAGAATTTCGGAGACGGTAGCTTGTTAGACTTAGAAGCAGAAGAATCACCATCTTCTGTGCTGATATCTGATATTGGTTCTTCGATTGAAAACAGTAGGGGGCGTGTAAATCCTTTTCGAAACCAAGGGACACGCATTATAGCTGGAATTGCGATCCTTCTTTCAGGGTCAGCCGTGAGTAGTTTAGAGATCAAACGCTTCGATTCTGTCGAAAACCATGGCGGAAACTCGAATTCAGCCTTTAAAATTTTCCTGTACATATTCATGATATTTTCATCTTGAAATGGCAAGAAACCTGCGAGGAGAACATACAGGATAACCCCACAAGACCAGATATCTGCTTTGGATCCATCGTATCCTTTTCTCCTCAAAACCTCAGGGGCGACATACGCCGGAGTTCCACACCGAGTGTGGAGGAGCCCGTCATTGCGAAGCTGCTCCGGTAAGGCCGACAACCCAAAATCTGAAATCTTTAGATCTTCGTTCTCGTTCAAAAGGAGATTTTCCGGCTTCAAATCACGGTGGGAGACACCTCTGCTGTGACAGAAATCGACGGCGCTTATCAGCTGTTGGAAGTACTTACGAGCGGCGTCTTCTTTGAGTTTGCCTTTGAAAACTTTGGCGAATAGTTCGCCGCCGCGGACATATTCCATGACGAAGAAGATCTTGGTCTTTGTAGCCATGACTTCTCTGAGTTCCACCACGTTAGGATGACGAACGAGGCGCGTAACAGAGATCTCTCTCTTGATCTGCTCCATCATGCCTTCTTTCTTCACCTCATCTTTGCTGATCACCTTTATCGCCACGCTTTCACCCGATGTAACTTCTTTCCCGTAATAAACCTTAGCGAAGGTACCTTTCCCAAGCAATCTACCCATCTCGTATTTCCCAAACAAAACACGCCTCTCATCCATGGATTCTTTTTAGTTTTCTTTTCCCTACACAATCAAAGCTTTCAACTTTCTCGAGGATTCATTCAAGGCTGCTTCGGGTGGTTCTGTAAAGATGTGAAATTGAATCCGGGGATTAAGATTTTTTCTGTAAAGGAAGATTTTTTCTCAATGATTCCATGGGGGATGAAAATGACTGGATTAAGAAGAGTGAGTGACGAGTGGAAAGGTACGAAAGGAAAAGAGAAGTGACAAAAGGGTTATCGAAACGACGCCATTGGAGCACCTGGTATTGTCTTTTGAGAGACAAACAGCACACGGAATGAATCTCGTACCTCTCCAAAATATTTCAATAATACTTTACATAGGAAGACGCGTCGGTTTTCTTTTTTAATTTTTATAATGCTGTTTGTTTCATAAAATGTTTTTTAAGTCTTATGTATTAGATTCAAGTATAATAGATAAATCAATGCAAAGTTTATTATAAATTGAAAGTATAAGTTAATACGACCAATAAGATCAATACAATGATGTATTAGATTTATTAAGTAAGATGGTCAAATATTAACCTCAAATTATCTAAACCCTTCCTTTTTCTAAACCGAATCCTTTGAGATTTAATTAGATATAAATCTGATTCTGTAGATTTCTTTTGTTATTTTCAGTATCTGACTTCAAATTATCTAAGTATAAGGGAATACACGTGAGCATATGGCTAAAGGTAGGATGACGAACGGGTACAATTTCATGAATTTTACATCGTATCTGTTTTAATTGGGGCGAGAATGGGTATAATTTTAGTGGGTAGTGGGCGGGTGTGGATTTAAAAAGTGGTACCCGTTGCGGGTTGTGGGCGAGTGATGGGTTTGATACCTTACCCGCCTCGCATCCGTCGGCCTCAGATTCGCCTGTCCACTAAATATACATTAAATTTTGGATCATTATGAATTTATGTATAATTTTATAGACTAATTTATAAATCTCAAAATTTTTTAAGATATAACTTATAATTTTCGGATACCTAATCTGAACTATCCGAAAATTGAAAAAAGGATCGGATATCTGAATTTTTGGATCGGATCAACTAGCCAACGGATCGGATCAGATTTTTTTGCACACCCCTAGCTGTCAGGCGGGTCTAGTCGGGTACGTCTTTAGTTGGGTAGTGGGTGTGGGATAGATTTGAGAATGCACCCACATGGACGGGTGTGAATTTGAAATTTTTTACCCATCATGAGTAGTGGACGGATGATGGATTAGAAAATATTAGGTGGGTATGAGGATGGAAAGGGGGTATCCGCATCCGACCCGCCCGTTTTCCATTCCTAGAAAAGGTCCCTCCCTGATTTTATTTTATTTTTTAACCCTTATTCAGTCTTATTTGGACTATTTTCAGTAGACATTTCTAAGCCACAACGAATTATTATGGGGTACAGATTGTTTATATTTGAACGTGTCAAATATAAATGTTTAATGTATAAAATTTTAATAATTAAGTACTTAATTTTTTAAATCTTATTTTCTTATTTTTATAGCTGAGATCGTAATATTATTTGATCTTTTTTTTATCTTTATAATTAAAGTCTTCAGTTTTTTTAATTCTTTTTTACCTTTATAATTGATGTCCTTAATTTTATAATATCACTTTTAACTTTATAATTGAATATTTTAAGTTTTTTCCAATATATCTATCTATCTTTTCAACTTAGGCCCCTAAGTTTTTTCAATATCTCTTTCTACCTTTTCAATTGAGGTCTCTAATTTTTTTAATCTCAATTTCTATCTTTATAATTGAGGCTCTTAAGTTTTTTTTAATCTCACTTTCTAACTTTCTTATTGAGGTCCCTAAATTTTTTCGATCTTAATTATACATTTATAATTGAGACCTCTATTTTTTTAATCTCGATTTCTACCTTTACAATTAACGTCTCTATTTTTTTACAATTTCATAAAATTCTCTATTTCTCATTCCTTTCTCTATCTTTCTAGTTAATTATTTAATATTGAATTAAATCTAATCATTTATCTTTTTTCATAAATCATATTTTCAATTTACCAATTATTCTTTAACTCTTAGTCTTTTCTAATCAAAATCTAACGATAACATAATATATTATTCTTTATTTTTTTTTACTTTTTTATTCAGAATAAAATTTCATATCATAATTTATAACCACATTTGTTTTTTATTATATTAATCGTATTTAAGGTGTTTTCTTAACAAAATAATGAAATTAATGTTCGAAAAAGTTTAATAATTTTTTTAAGATATTAAATTAATTATTTAGAGTAATATAATATATTTTCCTTCAATATGGTCCTTTTTTTTATTTTTGCTCAAAAAAATTAACTAACCATATTCTCATATGTAATGTGATAAGGGAGAGGTAAGGTAGTAGGTTGCCCCCAACACCAGTTTGAGAACAACTTCCGTGGAAGACCTCCGTTATGAATTGCCCTCAATGAAACTCGATCACACGACCACAAAATTAAAAACCTTGTGCTCTACCAACTAAGTTAGATGGACAATTCATAACACGTGTGTATTTTTTTTTACCAAATCATTATCAATAGTCATTTTATTACCTACTTTTTCGAACCTATGCTATAAGAGGACTTTTTGAGTTTTGGGTCCCATAAGTCGTGGGGATTTCATTAATTTCCATATAAACTTTGAAAAAAAAACAGCACCAAACTACCTCAGTGTACAAAATTGGATATTGAATTCGATTTGATTTAAAATTTTAGATATTTAAAATTTTTAGATATTTAAAATGGTGATATGTATTTGATTGAAAAAAAATCATATATTCAAATTTTGGTATTCGATTTTTTCATATCGGATATATGAATATCTGAATATGAATATAAAATTTAATTTGAAAAAAGAAATTAATTTTAAAATAGTCAAAATTTTATTGAGTTAGAGCTTTAATGAATTAGTAAGTTACTCATTTATTAGGCTAAATGTATATAAAATTTAAAGGCCAAATTTTTTTTTGGATTTCCAGATAATTCGAAAGTGAATTTTATCCGATCCGATTATTTGATTTTTTTAATATCCGACTTGAATTATCCAAAAATCAAAAAAATGAATCGAATATCTTAAATTTTAGATCGGGTCATCGGATCACCAGATCGGATCTTTTTGCATACCCTTAGTAGAGGTATATCTAAATAATCAAAATTCTTTTGTTTGTTATCCGGCATGACTTATTTGGTTGCATTTTTTAATCCGTCTACGATACCATTATTATAATTTAAATGCATTTTATTGGTAGTTTAACATTAATTATGATTTTGATTCTTAATTGGCAAGTTATTTTTCTTCAAATAATTGGCAGTATAAATAATTAAATTGGAAGATTGTAATATATATAAATAATAATAATCAAGTGGCCTAAACGACCTTGTTATCAAGTTTATTGTCGAATGGTTGAGAGCCTTTGATCATATATTATATTGTATTTACTTCAAATTTATAAAAAATTAAATTAAAATAAAATAAAAATTGTCTGATATTAATTGTAAAGTATATGATTTATTAAATCGTTTGTATAATAAAAACGAGAGAACTTACATTTATAGCTACAAACTAAAACAATGTCTTATGGAATTTATAGTTTTTTTTTTCCATAAGACAGAAAGAGAGAACGTGCAAAATGCAATTCCTAATACTGTTTCTGTTGGGAACAAACAAATAAATCTCCATTTTTTAAAAAGTTATGTTTTCCCCCTAGAAACTGGCACAATGATTCAATCAAAAAACCAGGGAATATGGCCAAAATGATAATATATAAAATAAAAAGAGTCAAATCGCATGCGGCAAGTGATTCTTCACTATAACATGATGGGTCATAATTAAGAAATAAAATGTGTTGAATACGGATGCAGTTCTTGATCCATTAATTTCTTATTTCTGAGAAGAAAAAAAATATGAAGAGAGAGAGAATAATTTGGTGTGAAATGGTTCCATCCGAAACCAAATAATTCAGTGAGATAATGCGTTGTCCACATTCCCATTACTCCAAAAACTCCCAAATCATGCACTGACAAATTATTTCAAACGGTTAAATGAATGATTGTTATTATTAAAGTGTTCATGTTTGAATACCAGAATATTTAAACTTTTATTGTCAAGTGGTTGAATGTATTTAAAACATATACTATCACTTGTACGCCCCTTAGATTAATAAAAAGAAAAATCGACCGTGGGTTCCATGGCCATCAGCTCCTAACTATATTGGTCAGCCAGTCTTGGACGTGCGGGTGGTGGGACATGCAATTGGTATTTGACAATGCAGTCGATGCCCCTACTTTCGGCTCATCTTCGTCCCTTTTTCCCAGACTTGGAATCACTTCCCTATGCCTTTGACAAACTCGATGCTTTCCGCTTCGCGCTTCCCACGAGTTTTGCTGAATCTGTTGAGTTCTCTTTCGTGCTTTCACTTTCTTCACCTTCGATGAATCAGGTTTTGACTTACAGTGCCTTTATCATTGGATTTGCCACCACTTCTAAGAGGCTTACCCTTAGAAAGGGGGGGAACTTTTGGGGTTTCCTGCTTGGACTTGGCTGTCTTTAATGCATCTTGCTTCAACTTTGTGGAAGCTTTTGGTGTGGCACTTTCGACATCCTTGGATTTTGTAGACTTCGGTTTATCCCACTGTCCTCATTCTTGGACTTGTTACTTACTTTAGAAGCGATATCAACCGATTTACTACCAGTTTTGGGGGTATGATCCTTGGATTTAGCAACACTGTCGTCTGATTTACTCGCGTTTGGATTTGCCATCCATTTTAGCTTCGTCCTTTGTTTTGCGACAAGACTTCATGGCAGCACCCTTGGATTTCCCAGTCGAAGTTCGTCCTCCCCTGACCATTCAATAATGGGATTTTCAGAAATCAAATAAAGAGACATATCAAGGGTTCCATTTTAAAGAATCTAGTAACCTTCTCGGTGAAGCATCCGTCTTTGCTTTCTTGCTCAAGAGATCAGGTGTTTTTGCTTTCCTCCTTTGAGGCCTAATAATGGAAAATGATCAAAGGGGAAAGGAAGATTAGCCCAGACCAATACTGAGGCAGTAATGAACCAAATGTCCAAGAAATCAACAGGCAAATACAAAGACATCAAATGCACCTAAAACTGAAGTAAACTCCATCATTCAGATAAAATCAACATCGCTACAGAATGGAAAAAGAATCAACTTGAACTACAGAAACCAACCAAGCAGAAGTTTCATCGCACAATGCCAAAATATACAAACTTTCTAGAACCAAGATGGTGTTGCAGATAGGAATCACCTACATGTCAGATGAACCATCAGGACTTGGATGTTCATCTCGCCTTCCTGTTTCAGTGAGGTATATTAGCAGCCTATAACGTGAACAAATAAAATTTAATTACCTATAAATTAAATTGCTCACATCGTTTGACCCAGACTCATCTTCAATCACCACCCACTTTTCTCTCTTAAGATTTAAAATTTCTTGATCACCATCAATATAGTTCACCTAAAAACAATGAAAAAAAGAAGATACAATAAATTTAAACAATAGCACTAACGGTCAGAGGGAAAACTCAGGTAACATATTAAGGAAAAACATTAAAGGAAACTTCTATTTACTTGAAGCTTCACCTTGTGCTTCTTTTTCAAGGGATCAAATGAATGAATAAAACATGTCAGTTTGTGATGTGGCTCCAGCGGCGCACATATATAAAGCACATTCACCCAATAGATACTTTGCTCACACAAGCATACACATCAAAGACAAGACGGGAAGAAATAAAGTTCGTGATTTCTATTTCAGAGTATCAATTCGGCAGCAATTGTAAAATATATGTACTTACTCACAGTCTGCGGGCCACCAGACCTTCACCTTCAAGCTGACAAGATTCTCACCATACTCCATAGAATCAGATTGCAGCATTCAAGAACAGAGTTGAAGAAAGGTTTACTGCTTCCAATGGTTGTGCAGGAGAGCATTGGCTTGGTGGTTTCTAGGAATGAGAAATGACAGCATTGCAGCTTGAAAGATGAAGGACCAAAGATGGTTAAATGCACAAGAGTACAGAAGAAGCAATACGAGGATCTCAAGAATATCCATAAGAAAGGCAACATAACGATTAAGAAAGCAAGCAAAGAAAAATGGCATCTAAATAGAAAAATGATGATCAAGGAAGCAAGAATGGAAGAGAGTTCAAACCCACAACGATCGACAAAGATCACCTATGACGCTGATCTATTTTACTACGCTGATCTATTTTACTGACTAAGGTATGAGTGTCGGGGGGAACTATGTTTATTCCCCCCCCCCCCCAAATTTTCCATGTATTTAGAGCCCTTGAAAGAACATATGCCCATACCAGATACGGGTGAGACACGAGTAACAAACACGGACACATAAAGGGAAATGAAGAATCAGAGCACCATTGATGCTACCCTTACTTAAATGCAACCTACTGAAACTACAATACACCACCACTAAAGTTTGATATTTAAAGATGCATAAGAAATTACTTTTTCTTTACCTGGGGCGTGCTTTCTCTGCTCTATCCTTCTCTGGAACAACTTTTCCGCGAGCTCGCCATTTACTATCTGTCTGCTTCCTTGAAGTGGATTCATCTACCTTGTTACCGCTAGAAATGACTTTCTTTGATGACTTCTACAGTGATTTTGCCTCTGAATCACTGCCCGTGTCACCTTCTTTCATAGTTTCATCTGCATTGTTATCGCTAGAATCTACCTTCTTCGATGACTTATTCAGTGATTTTGCCTCTGAATCATTTGCAGTGTCACTTTCTTTCTTAGTTTCATCTACACCAACTGGAGCATTATCCTCAGTGGAAACAACAGTAGCAACTTTTTTCCTTGCTCGTCTATTTGTTTTTGCTTCTGAATCACTAGTCGCAATTTCCCCCTCTTTTATCGGTTTGACATTGGTTTTGTGGTCAAAACGAACATTTTAGCTAAAAGATCTTTTAGAAATCATTATCAAGCGGATCCTTGATGGCTTGACTATCCATTTTTAATGATGTTCATGGTACCGTTAATTTTTAACATTTAAGGATTAAAATAAAATTAAAACATAATGTCAAATATGATTTAAAAAATAATTAAACGATTAGTATAAAAATTAAAACGTAATATTAAGTATGATTTACAAAAAATAATAACTAAACAGCTAAAAGAAAAACTAAATAATAAATGGATGATAAAATAATTAATATATCTTATATTTTCTGTTAGATAATTGTTATACTGATTAAAAATTTATTTATTTATTTATATTGGGTTACCTCAAAAATTATATTGAATTTTAAAACAGATAAGATCTTCTTAAATTTAAATTAATTTGAATATAAACTAGGAGTTTAATTTTTAGATTAAATTTGAATAGACCAAAAACCGAAGTAACCTATAATCATCTTATTAGGACTGATTCGATCATCCCCCAAGTTAAACCGATTCTATAAACAATAATATTTTTTTTTGTATAATCACCGGTATCCGATCTTTTGATCGACTAATCCAGATTGGGTACTGCAGATGGAAGAGCTCTCCCAATCAAGTTTATTTCATTCGTAATCGTCAGGATTTGAACACTTAATCTTACTCAAATGATCTAATGTCTTATTCTACTAAAATAATTGGGTGTTGGTTATAAACAACCATCATTAATATGTTTGTAATAACTCGGACAGGGATCTATTTGGAATTCGACAGTTCTATTGAAAAGCAAAGCCCAAACAAAAAAAAAACCGGCCCGAAGGTGTGGTTGACAAAAACCGGTGCAATAAATATTGGTTTCTTGGCAGGACCCGATTCCACCCAAAAGACAAAAATATAAAGTCAAGTCAAGGGTTAATTTCCACCCAACCAAAACTCTCCACGTCATCATGTCTCCGCACGTCACGTTTTTATTGGATAGAAACATGTCACAACAACGTGTCAACCGTCAAAGAAATGTTCCCACTTCATAGTTCTCCTCCCACCTCCTGCCGAAGCATATGATCGCCCGTTCCCAGCCAGATCCTTTTAGTATTAGAAAGCAGTTAATTTTCCGTTATATTTGAAAAAAAAAAATCCTCTACCGTGGCGACGTCGGGGCCGCAAGACATCCGTCGCAGAAAACTGTATCCGTCCTCATCGTCAAGTTCAGGTCCTAGCAGCGTAGAGAAGAGGGAACGTTTTGGAAAGATTCCAAAGGTTGATTATCCATTTTGGCAACAGAATTGGTTCATTGGATTGCTGTTCCTGATGGCGGTGGGGTTCTTTGGTCTTGCTCTCTTCCTCACTTTCAGTTTCGATCATGGTTCTTCTTCCTCCGCCGCTTCCTCTTCCCCCTCCTCATCTCAGAACGTCGAGGTTTTAAACATAATTTTTTCACTTTTTCCAATTATTCCTTGTTTGATATATTAATTAAAATTAATGAATGGAAAAGGTAACTTACGGGACGGTTTTAAAGCTGATGCACGAGAAAACGAAATTTAGGCTTCATTCGCACGATGTCCCGTACGGTTCTGGGAGTGGACAGCAATCCGTCACCGGTTTTCCCAATGTAGACGACTCTAACAGCTACTGGGTACTCTCTAACTCTCTCTCTTACCAGCTTGATCTTCTGATCCAGTTTCTGAATGGAATATGGTTTTAGTAACGCTTGTAATATTGTTGTTTTAACTATATTATGAAATCAATCTCTTCGCTAACGGTTAGTATAATGGGTCAATGATTTTTTTTCCAAGTTTATGGTTAACATTTTTGTTTCTTTCAAGTATTTACTAGTTAACCCTTTGAATGTGGTGTTATTATGGTGTCCTTCTCTTAGAATCAATATATTGACATGGTTCAAGAACATGGGATTCTTCCTTTAAAATCTTCGAATTGGTTTTGTGCCTTTTCTTTTCCTAGATGTTTTTTTCTAATATGGTGATTGAAATAATTTTGAATGTCGAATAAGCTTTGGCGGTGTTTGGTTTTTAGTACTTTTTTACCGCCAAAATCTCATTTAATAGCGTGATGATAAGAGCTTTTTTCATCACCCATTTTCATTTGGGACTGCTTTGTAGATTGTTCGGCCTACACCCGATACATCTGCTAAACAAGGAGACACCATCTCCAACGGGGCAATTATTAGATTGCAACATATGAGGACTAGGAAATGGCTGCATAGCCACTTGCACGCATCCCCAATATCAGGAAATCTCGAGGTTAGTATTTTTCATATGTTTCAGCAGCCAATCTTCATTGATGTTAGAACACCTTGATGCACTTCTAGGACAGTTAACTCGATAAAAGTTGTCTTCTGAAATTCTTTTATTCTTTCATCACCTTCACACTGAGGCTTACTGATGATTACCCGCTCAATGTTGGGTATAGGTCAGCTGCTTTGGAGGAGAAACAGAATCGGACACTGGTGATTACTGGAGGTAAGGCCTAAAATTTTATTTTGTCAAGTAATGTGCATCATTCTTGGCTATATGTTTTGCTGGTGCTTCATTATTGGATGATTCTGTCAGGCTCATAATTGAGGGAAGTGGAAAAACTTGGAAGCAAGACCAAAGGATTCGGCTTCAACATGTCGACACTAGTGGGTACCTGCATAGCCATGACAAGAAATACTCCAGAATAGCTGGTGGACAGCAAGAGGTGAGAATGGAAATACATCATCAATTATTAAATTATTACTTGGACATTTCTATTTTGAATAGAATTACTTGGACATTTCTTTTGTTAAATTCCATGCTAAAGAATATATTGGTCTTCCATCATGTTTAACAATACTAATATTCGATACTTGCTAGCAGGCTATTATATGTACTTCTGAAGTTTTTTCTGGCCTTTGTTACTTGATAGATAGTATGTTGTTGACCATTTCCACATAATTGCTTAGGTTTGTGGTGTTAGAGAAAAGCGTGCAGATAATGTCTGGTTGGCTGCAGAGGGTGTGTACCTCCCCATTACTGAAGGCAAGTAGTATATGCATGTCTAAGAGATCACTACACTGTAAAAGCAGGTGCATTGATTTTGGATTTGTTGTTGCCTGTTTTCCGATCCTTTAGTAGCTAATAGCCATTTATGAAATCAGTAGTATAAATTTTGCAGAACAACTTTCTCTGGTGAATATTATGTATGTTTATGTACCTTGAGACGATACTAAAAATTTAATTACTATCATTATTATAGCAAATCTATGACTTCATTTATGAAATCAGTAGTAAATTTGCTTCTTGTGCCTCTATCCTGCATGCTTTTGAATTGAGCCTCGCGCTCCAACAAGCCTACTACCATGTGTATAAAAAGTTCATTTATATCAAAAGCATTTTGTTGAGTAAGATAAACGAAAATAAATATATCTTATTCATTTCAGTTTGCATATCATAGGCAGTCGTAATATATATAATTCAAGTGTAATAAATGCACAATAATTTTAATTATGTATAATTATAAAAAATATATAAAATTATATCATATCAACGTATCAAATATAAATATATTATATATATTTCGTTATTTTCTTGGGTAAGGATTAGTCTTTAGTGCCATTATCAATTTTTCCATAAAGAACAATTGCCATACTGTAGAAGTTTGTGTGTTGCTATGTATGTGACTAATTCTATGTATTTTTTGGTCGAGGTTCAATTCATCATTAGTTTTCTTTTATTTTAAAACATATTCATTTAGGATATGAACACATTCTTCTCTTTCTAACGCTAGGTTTGCAGGACGATTTCTTTAGTTTCGTGCACTCTGTGAAGACGATTTCTTTTTTAATGTCCTCAATACTGTTACGATTTAGGGTATGCCTAATTTCCGAAATCCATCCTTCTTCCTTTAGTTTCATGCACTCTGTGAAGACGATTTCTTTTTGAATGTCCTCAATTCTGCTACGATTTAGGGTTTCGATCACCCATTTTGCATCGGCTTCCACAATAAGGTTCCTCGCTCCCAAGGATTTTGCATGCCATATTCCCCACATTTCGGCCATGGCGCTGGTTATCTTTCCTATATTTACCATGAATAATACACTTCTCATATTTAAACAAATATGAAAATACTGAAATAACCTAAGATGAATTTTTAAATTTCTGGAAGGGATTAACTAAATAATTACCCTATTTACTTCTTCAACGCTAATTATAATCAATAATGCTGTAATCTCTAATAATCAAGAAAGGAAATCAAAGACAATTATTTAAGGTAAAAAAATGTACATTGTTTTTTTTTAATTAACCTAGGATAAGTACAAGGCAGTACTTATTTAAAGATAACTCTCAAACTCTTAACATTGGACGTTCACACCCCTTGACATTCTCGATGCTCAAATCTGAGTCCTAAAAAAAATAACAACAATTTTTTTTACTACGGAGGCTAAAAAAAGTGCAACACTCAACTCAAATAGATTGGTTTATTTTGTTTGTATAATGGATCAAATGGGTAAGGAGTTGTGATTTATATTTTAGATAATATTTTCAAAACTCAAAAGAATTGTTAAATGAGCAATGTAGCGGTGGTAATGGATAGTAATAATAGTGTAGCCAGTACTGTTGGGGTTCATTAAAGTTTAGTATCAAAGATTTATTTCATTGGTTTCTGCTTAGCTGGGTGCGTTGATAATGGCCACCACGCACCAAAGGATTCATTCGTGGCAAAGATGAGAATAAATACAACAGTGGTTGAAACAAGGCAGCCCCACGACTCATGTCCTTTCCACTTTCTTGCAGATAACTCAATTATTATTTCTTACAGACAGTCGTATGTTTACAGGAAAAACAAGAAACAGAGAAAGCTGTCCGCTTCATAGTTACGGACTTGGAAATGTTTTTAAACAGGTGAGCGTAAAAAAGTATAAATTTTTTATATAGGCGAGCGTAAATAAAATTTTAAAATAAACACAATAAAAATAAATAAATAATTAATCTAAGAGGTTTCGAATTTTAAAGTGCTTACTCATACAAACTAAATATAACATGGATCCACCACAGAGTTCCTTGCAGCAGGAAACGACAGATATACTCTATCCATCCATGGATACTATCATCTGTGCTTGTTAATAGTTATGGACAAACAATATGAATACAGTTGCACTAGATTCTGGTTCTTTACCATTGCCATTGAACAGAAACTGTGGTTCGTGAAAGTTTTACCGTATAGAATGTACAAACCAAAACCAGACAACAAAAACTCATGTCTAGAGCCCAACGCAAGAGACAAAGGAGAGGGAGTTCAGTTGGCCAAGATTAATGAAGATTTCATTACAAAAGTGGCTGCTGTAAGGAGTTAATCCTCCTCTTGATCTGTGTTTCTTAAGAATCGGTTAGATGTTAAAAAAACAGCACAGGAAACAACGTCAACGCTGAAGGTGTTTAAAAATATTGAAGGAATAAAGCATTGGGTTTATTTTAGTAGTTTATGTTCCCACGATACAAAAATTGCTTGAATTCGACTACGTGAATCTTGAGATTCCAAATGTAATGGTCAGTTAGAATTTTCTTCGGGATTAAATGCACCATGTACTCCTGAACTATACCATTTGTGTCGAGTTGCTCCATAATGTATTTTTCGTGACGTTTTGCTCTAATTATAAATCGTTACCCCGTTTGTCTCAAATCGTTAATACCGTTAAAAAATTATCGGGCTAATATGAACACGTCATTTTTTTAAAATTTATTTTTTTAGAAAAACATAAAATAAAATAAAATATTTTTACTAATAAAAATTTTGGGTGAAATAAAACACTTGAACCGGCTTAGTTCCCAATTGTTTCAACATACCGTCTCGTCCTCTTCTACTTTGTATCAACGAATCGATTCTCTTCCTCACTTCTCACTTAACAATCGATTTTCTTGTCTTTCTCTTATTCTTCAACAATCGATTTTCGTCTCATCCTATTTTTTAACTGATTTTGGCAACGAATGAGATTCGTTAAACGAAACTTTGTTGATCGTGGTGATTGTTTAAAACCCTAAATTAAAATTTTGGCTGGCAAAGGAAAGGTAAGTTTCTAAAAATGATCTATTTATTGTTTTTGAAGAAGTTTGCTTCTGATTTATACCGATTAAAACACTAGATTGATGAAGTTACTTTTTTTTGTGATAGGAAAAATTGAAGGTTTCAAAATATTCCATTGATTGGTTATTTTCATAGTTGAAGATAAAGTCAAGCCAGTAAGATATATTTCTTAAGATTCTTTACATATTTATGTTCATTATTTTAATCTTATTTAAAATGTTCACATGTATGAAGTATCATATTTATTGTTTGCAGTGCATGTGCATTTGATATGTTCATTATCTTAAGATTCATGTTTAAAATGTTCATTATTTAAGAAAAATGGCTTGGATGGAGTATACTTTTGTAATTCATTTTTGGGACCTTCCCTTGGAAACCTAATTTGACTTATGTTGGGGCAAAAAGATTCAACAAAAAATTGATCATGACTATTTATGTTATTCTAACGATTTCATTGAGGATGCGTGGTGTCCAACAAACAAAATAGCTTATTTAGTATATTTAAAGCTAGGTTACATTTTAGATGGAAGTTGAGGACATTAAGTTATGATAATGCAAGCTATTTAAATTTGATTAACCATTTAAGTAGTAAAGGGAAGATACAAATATATGTTAACCATGGGTTCGAGTTGGAAAATGTAGGTTTTGTAGGTGCTGACAGTATGTATACCTAGTTAGATGAAGAAAATACATATGATCTTGATGATGATAATGGGTCGGTTGATGGTGGGTTAACTGATGATAATGTTGATGGTCCAAATATGTAAGCTAGTAAAGAGGGTATTAATGTCAGTGATGTTAATAGGGTAGTAGATGAAGAAGATACTGAAGATGAACGTGACTTGACCTACCATCAACTTGAAGCAGAGTCTAAATTTGAAGATTTAAGGGGTAAAGTAGCACTCAGTGACAATGATGATGAAGGAATAATAAATATTTTTCATAATGCAAGAAAATTTAATGAAATAAGAAAAGTTGGAATCGTGGGGATGGGGATCTAGGAGGAAATCAAAACAGTGAGTTTCATAGGGTTGAAGAAAGGAAAGAAGGAAGTGAAGATGACACTGATTACTTATTATCTGATGATGTTGGTAGCTATTAAACAGATTCTGTTGGTGAATTTGTTTGTAAGAGAGGTAAGAAAATATTTTTGATGAGAGTAGTGAACCTAGATTTGAGTTGGATATGATTTTTGAAAGCAACAAGCGATTTAAGGATGCATTGGGGTCTTTTGCAGCAGCTAATAGATTTTATTATAGTTACACTAGGAATGAAGCTTGCTAGAGGATAGCTGAGAGCAGATCTTACCAAGAATATTTTTTGTAGAGTTAGGAAGTGGGCTACATAATAGATAAGAGGTAGGTTAGAGCATGAATTTAATAGATTATTCGATTATATTTTTAGATGAAGACAAACATATCTCACTGGTACATTTGACCTTGTAGTTAAAAGGCCTACTCCTTTTGATAAACCTATTTTCAAAATATTGTATATTTGTTTCAGTGGAATAAAGTAATGGTTTATTAAATATTGTAGGTATGTTTTGTCCCTTGATGGTTGTTATATAAAAGGATAATTTAAGGATGAATTACTAGTTGTTGTAGGTGGAGATGACAATAATCAAAATTTTCTAATAGCATGGGTTGTTCTAGAGGTGGAGAATAGGGACACTTGGTATTTTTTTAAGAAACATTCAAGTTGATCTACAATTAGTAGATGTTCAAAATTTCACTCTTATCAGTGACATGCAAAAGGTATGTGTTTAACATGTATGCTAACCAGAGGAAGGAACATAAAGGGACAGACTTGCAATAACAGTTTTGTACATATTGTAAGTCAACAACTCATACAACATTTCGAAAGCATAACAACATGATGAGTCAGTTGAAGGAGAATGCACTAACAAGTTTGATGCAACAAGATCACAAACAATGGTCAAGGGCTTTTTTGAAATACATTATAAATGTGACTCTATTGACAACAACTTTGGTGAAGCCTTTAATCCAAAAATACTTCATTCAGGGTATAAAGCTCTAATTTTTTTTATTTAAGGACATCAGACACTATGTGATGAATAAAAACTGTCCATGTAAACTTAGGTGTCAAAAATAAAAATATTTTCTTTATCCTAAAATTTGTGAAGTTGTTGAATAACACAAAACAACTAGTGTTTATTCTCCTGTAACATGGAATGGGCAACAT